TTCCTCTATTTCCTTTTACTTTCCTCTTGTTACACTGTCGTGTTCAGCATTCATTTGGGTTTCAGTAATTCCTCTCGGTTACATTGCTCTTGATCAAGCCCTACCAGGCCTCCTACACCCTCCTCACCATCCATTTTGGATCACTTGTTCTCTTGTCCCTGGGTTTGTTAATACCCACTTCCTTTCCCCTGCCTCCCCCTCTCCCATGACCCCCAGAACAGTTGGTCCCGTTGTTTTCTCCAGATTATTTATCCCACCTATCTTATGTAGATACACCTGCAGAGATAATAATATGCACAAAAAAATAAGACAGAGCAAAACAAAGCAACAAAAGAAAACAAAACAAGGACAACAAAAAAGAAAAGCCTGTAAATAGTTCAAGGACTGTTTGTTGACCTTTAGGAGTGTTTTCTGGTCAAGTCTTATGGGGTGCCACACCCTGGTCCCAAAGTCTATTTTTTGGTATTCCCTCGAAACTTCCTTGCTCTGCCCTCCTTGCTGTTCTGTTGCACACCCTTAGTGTTTCACCTCAGCGTGGTGAAGTCAGATTGGGCACAATTCCCATACTGTGTTACAGTGTTGTCCCCCAGAACACTATGGGTCAGTGAAGGACATTGAAATTATGTTCTGGATTTATGCCAAAATGTATTCTTTTTTTCAGTAGGTTTTCAAAGTCTAGTATTAAATTAAAGGATTATTATTTCATTTCACCAAAACTGAAATGTAGTATTTAGGTTGTGGGACAATTATTTTAAATATTAGACATTGTCATAGCCGCCTGAATATCTTCTTTTGTGAAGCGTCTCTTCATACTTGGCCCACGTTTTAATTAAGTTGTATGTCTTTTTGTTGTTGAGATGTTGAACGTTTCTATAAATTTTAGAGAATTAGATTCTTGTCAGATATGTTATTGCCAAAATTTCCCCAAGTCTGTAGCTTGTTTTTTTCACTGTTAGTAAAGACTTTTAATGAGCATAAATATTTCATTTTAAGAGGTTCCAGTTATCTAGTTTATCTTCTGTTTGTACTTTTTAGTTATGATTGATATTCTCTTTATGTCATGGATTAGGACCTGTAACTTTGTCTCTAATTTTTCTTTTATGAACTTTATAGTTTCCAGGTTTAAAATTTAGGTCTTTAATCCAGTTTGTTTATTTTTGTGTATGGTCAGGTTGTTTGATTTTTTTCTGTAATTGTATATAAAGTTTTGCCAGCACCATTTGTTAAGAGACAATGTCTTCTCCATTTACTGAATTTCTACCCTTTGTTGAAGATTAACTGTCCATAGCTGGGCAGGTTTATTTCTGGGGCCTCAGTCCTGTTCCATTGGCCTGTGTGTCTGTTGCACCAGTGCCAGGCTGCTCTGACGACTGTGGTTGTGTACGTAGGCTCAGCACTTAGGAAATATGAGGCTTTCTACTTTGTTTTTACTTCTTCAGTAATGCTTTAGCTATCCAGGGCCTCTTTCTTTTCTATATAAAAATGCTGGTTAGGTTTTCCAGTTTTTTAAAGAATGCTGTTGGAATTTGGATTGGGGCTGCTTTGTATCTCTATATTATATTGGGTAGTACAAACATTGTTACAATGTCTAGTTCTTCCTATCCATATGCATGGCATATTTTTCTATTTATATCAGTCTCTTTTGTTGTTGTGGGGTTCTTTTTCTCTCCCTCTCCCACCCTCCCACCCTCATGAACCCTTGATAAATTATGAATTATTATTTTCATATCTTACATCATCTGTCTTCATTCATCCATGTTTCTGTTGTTAGTCACAGGGGGGCGGGACAGGGTTGTTATACATACAGAGATCATTGCGATCGTTTCCCCCTTTCTCTCCCCACCTTCCTTCTACCCACATCGTACTGCTACTCCTGTTATTGT